ATGGATCTTCATTCCGATTTGGACCTTATAATAATAGGTAAAACTGGTAATGGAAAAAGTGCTACCGGAAATTCAATTTTGAGAAAACCGGATGTGTTTGAAAGCGCGTACAACACAAATTCCATTACTGACTTTCCACAAACAGGTTTCACGACTTTTAATGATCGAGTCATATAAGTGGTTGACTGTCCAGGTGTTTTGGACACGGATATTGATGAAACTGGTTCAGTAGAACTTGTTAAAGAAGCTTTACAAAACGCTGTTTTAGCCAATCCATCAGGCTATCACGCATTTCTCATTGTAGTCAAGTTCGCTCAACGTTTTACCAAGGAAGAACAAGATTCTATTAAGATTCTCAAAAGTATTTTGGGAAAAGATGTCATCAAAACCCACGGCATTGTCGTAATGTGCAACGGTGATACTTTTGAACATTTTTCAAAAACACAAGGGTTAACTATTGAGGAATTTTGCACACAACAAAAAGGATATTTTAAAAACCTTTTACAAGAATGCAAAAACAGAGTCATAGTGTTCAATAATATAACAGAAGATGAAACACTTAAAAACAATCAATTAGAAACCTTAAACAAAGCTGTTGACACTCTTAAAACTTATACTAGCAAGTACACAACACAACACTTTCAAAAAGCAAACAAATCGACAGAATCTATCTCACGTGAAAAGAAATTATTTACTGATCAAAGTTGGCTTTTGCAAAAACTACACGATGTTAAAAACTACGACACAACGGGAAAAAAATTTATATCGTTAGATCAAATACAAAAGTGATGAACAAATGCTTTCATTTGAACTTCACAAAATCAGCGATACTTCAGTTCTAATGAATGAATTTAAGGAAAATGTTGAAGCCACAAACGCATATATTACAAACACCATTATCGAGTTATCACACAATTTACAACAACATGGTGCTACTAAATCTGAACTATCACTCGAAAATCAGCACTCGCAAATAAACTGTAAAACAGAAGTGGCAAACGATCAACGGGTTTGTCCACACTACGCCAAGGCATGCTGTAAGTCCGTCGGCGACGGCCCAGGTGTCAGGGGAGTCACGGGGCTCTTGGGCGCGACACATTGTTTCTTCCGGCAGTCTGGAAGAAACAATGGTGCAACACTTGATTAGATTTAGTCATCATGTGTAGTAGTGAGACTTATTCCTAGTGTTGTGGGAACTTTTAAACGACTGGATGTGGGGGCCAACCTGCTCATATGTGATGCGCTCAGGATGACACTGTCGCCGGTGGTTTGAAGTAGTAACCTCATCCGCTTATGCAAGATCTCACGGCGCTAAATCACACATTTCCGTTGGGCGTCCCCAATCCAATATATAAACAAATGTTAGGCCTATGATAGAAACCTTTGCGGGGCTGTACTGAACAGCTTCCCAAATTTTCATGGCGATTGGGTGAATGATGCAGTAATGCAAAATAGACAGAAAAATGTTTTTCACATGTACAAATGTATGTGGCCAGCTCACGCGTCGGATAACCTTCTGATTTTGGGGGGGGGGGGGATTCCACAAATGACGTCTAATTTTTATCGATTAACAAAAAGCCAGACCCTCACACACCCCCACCTCAATGACGTCATATATAAATAGTAATTGACTATTAATAATGTTCAATTAATTCTAATCGTTCTAATTAATTTCTAAATAATTATATAAAAATTAATCTTACCTTCCCTGTGTTGTGAATTAGATGTGCCTAATACTATGCAATTAAATTAATATCTGTTGACTAGTGCTGTCTAGTGTCTGACAAAATGTGCTGAAGTGATGAATCGTACGGTTAGGAAGTAGTTCATAAATGATAGATTGATCTACTCGATACTTGCGAGGCTAAAAAAGAGGGATGGAATGGGGGTCGGCTCGGGAAAAATCTTGAAAGAGACAACAAAACGCCTAAGTACGTCAGCACCTCCCATTGAAAAACTTACTCAGGGGAGATTATTCCAAGTATAGACCTTAAAAGTTTACTATGATATTTCTTGTAAAAGCAAAATACAAGTAAACGTTTATAAAAATGAAGTTTCTAGTATTATATTCCTTTTATTATTTGTAGGATACAAGATAGTACAGAATACAAATTCAACCACTATCACAAACACATGTTAACATTGAAAAATGTACAATGAATTTCGGGTCCCTAACTAATGCCGCAAAGAAAAACCGCGCATCATAAAAGCCCACTTCATATGTAGCGGCTTCTCGTGCTATGGGCTTTGTTGTTTTGTTTGTTTTTTTTAATTTTGCCGGCGACCGCGTGTGTTTGATTGTAGGGAAATAGAACTCGGCCTTGACGATGGGATAAAAATACAACTATAAATTAAAAAAATTTGGTCCCCATCCCCTGCCCCATCCGCCACAGTACACTTTGGAGGATCGGTCAAACGGTTACGTGTCCTCTGTTCAGCTATCAAAGGGGGGGGGGGGGGCAAAGAGACAACTAAATTCAAAATTTTTAAAAAATATTAATTATGGTCAGGCTTGGGCCCCTAAACGGCCTGCCCCCCCCCCCCCCCACATTGCGGGAACTGGCAGCACTGTAGTTTTGCCCCTGTATAGATCTTTTGGTTGTTTTTAGGCTTAAAAGCTAGATCATTGTATCCTAATTTCTTTTAACTTTGATGTATTTATTGTTACTAACTAATGTTCAATTAATACGTGTACTAATTTTAAAACGATTTATAATATAAAGACGAGTCTTACCTTCCTTGTTGTGTGAATTAGATTCGTCAACAAAATACTTCATCAGGTAAATGAACAACTACTGACTAGTTTCTTTAAAAAAATATGCAGAAGTGGTCAGTTTACAGTTCAGTAGTTCATAAACGGTTCGTTAATGTATGCATTACAACTTATTGTAAGAGTTAGGGTGTGGTGATGGGTAGAGGTGAGGGGTAGGGGTGAAGGGGGAGGGGAGAGAGTTGGAAAGGTTCATTGGAAAAGGACAAGAAGCGCCGATGAACATCTACATCAATAGTGCCGACTTTTTCCGGTCGTCTAGAAGACCAGGATAGTCGCCGCAACATTTCCCCAGCCCGATTTCAAAGCGTGCCGGCACAGTCAATTTCAGATGCTTCGCTTAAGGGAAATAACTTAAACTTTTACAAATTTATTGATACAGGTGTTAAAATAAAAAATGAACGCAATTATAAATGTATGAGATCGAAATAAATAATTATATTTTTTGTAGAATTCAGGCCAGTAGTTTAAACACACAATCATAAATATGTACTTTAATAATGTCAACAATATAACAATGCTTTTTTGTTCTCCTAATCGACGCCACTAAAAAGAACGGTAGGCTACGTCTTTGAAGTTGTCTATATGTCTGGCGGTCTCTCGAGCTATAGTCTGTGCATTTTTTTCAAAGACGTTTGCCGACTATCGTGTTTGTTTGTAACTGTAGAAGAAAGATAACTCGACCTCCACCTAATTTAAAAAAAAAAAAATTTAATATAATTTAGCCAGGATTTTTGAGCGCCCAATCGGTCTGCCCCCCCCCCCACCCCCCGCATTGCGGGGTCTGGCGGCACTGTAGTTCCGCCCCTGGCTGGGGACCTATGGTCGAAGATACACAAACGAACACTTTTAAAAAGCGGATGAGTTTTACCAGCATCTTCTTGTTTCAACATCGATACCACTCTTAACCAAGCAAGTCCTAAAAGAACAGAGTTTGATAATGCAAGCAATAATTGCTAGCGAAATGTTGCCAGAGCAAAGCGAAAAGATTGATTCATTGAAAAACATTCTGCCAAGACTTGAAAACTTAATAAAAATACTTAGAGAGATAGATAGGAGAACTGGTAAACTGAAATATTTTATAGCAAATGCAAACGACACAAAAAAAATGATAAATGCTCGATTAGAACTGTATAAAAACACAGGAAGTCGTCGGCAATTGATGGCGCACATCCTTAGCACTTTGAATCGACAAGCAACTCAAATTGAATGTGAAACGAAAAATCTGCTGAAAATATGAAAAAAACCTTTTTTTTTAAAAGGTGGCGTATTCGTAAAAAAAGTTTGGTTACTTTATAATTGGCTCAGCTAACATTTTAGCAATTGTTCTTATGAACTGTATATAATCAAAGGCAACAATTATTTGCATAACAGTAGTATATTATGTCCCTTTGGGGTATTATCCGCAGGCGCAGGCGCAGACGCCGGAGGTACAACGAGATATAGTAAAATACTCGGGATGGGGATGGGAGGCGGAGGTACAACGAGATATAGTAAAATACTCCAGGCGCAGGCGCATGCGCAGCCGGAAGGTACAATGAGATATAGTAAAATACTCGGGATGGGGATGGGAATGCGGATGGGCAGGCGCAGACGCAGAGGAGTAGGTCAGTAGGTCTGCACTGGTGACCTTGGTACGTAATCACCATAGGTGACCTAGTTACGTAATCACCAGCGGTGATCTAGTTACGTAATTTAATGAGATTTTAATGAGTTTTTAATTAGTTTGAATTTTAATTTTTTTAATTTTTTATTTATTGTGTTTTGTAATTTTTGTTAACTAGTTACGTAATTTAATTATTTGTTTGATTTAAATTTTTAATTTTTTAAATTTTAAATTTGTTTTATTTTTTTAATTTTTAAATTTTTAAATTTTATTTTTAAATTTAAATTTTATTTTTAATTAATTTTATTAACTAGTTACGTAATTTGATTATTTGTTTGAAATTCATTTTATTTCTTTGTATGTTTTTTTAATTTTAAAATAATCGACCAACGCTAACGTGTACAAAAAATAGAAAATTCTTTCTCTTGACTTCCAACATCCCTTAACGACAGCTGTTACTCGTTAGCGACAGCTGTTACTCATCGACCCGCGAACGAACTTTTCCGGTGCTGCCCGTTTTTGACACCCGCGGTTGATTAATGGCCCCACACTTAACGGTGGCTACCGGGCTTTTTTCATTAGACTACCTCTGTCCATTAACTATGTTCACATATCGTACGACTGGTCATATATTGATCATATTAAAATTAATGTTTCCACATGTCCTACGAACCGTCCCTTGATATGTATGAAAGATTAATGGTTGTAACAATTCGCTTATAGTGAGGGTCAGCGAAAACAAAATATATTTAAGGGTTGGAATTTTCTTCCAACCACCGTTAAATCAGGTTTTGAGATGAAACGAATTCTGGCTAGGCTCGTGCTTTTTTATGGGCAACAGGTACATGTCACTTAGTGCGTTGGTACGTGAGGTATGCGGGGTAGACATGTTTTTACAAGTCTGGAAAAGTAATTAAGTTTTTATGACCGTTCCGATTTTCTTTCGATCTGAGTACCAACTGGCCACCCTGAGACAGATAAACTTAACAAGTGTTCAATACATATTCGATTATAGTAACATGGGTG